ATAGTGAGTATAACTAGACTGTTGAGTTTGAAAATAATTGAGAATCTCGATATAAAGCTCAGTCAGATCCAATCGGTTTTGTATTTTTTCTGGAATACAAATGAAATTCTTGATCATTTACTTCTATCAAATGGATACAGAATTGAGAAGAATGATGGCTATGAGTTACTCACTTTGCNTTGAGTCCACATGAAAAACGTGGTCTTTAAAATTTTTTTTATACATTTTATTAATGATATTATAGTGATAATATAATGCTCTTAATATTATGGAATTATGATGAAGGTAATATAACTATAGTAATATTATGGTGAAATAATATTACGGTGGTAAAATAATGGCAGTAACATTTTGGTGGTATTATAGCGGCGGTAATATCATGGCTGTACTATAATGAAGGCAATTAAATTGCAGCAATGTAATGCTGGTAATATTAGGAGCGTTGCTGGCAGCTGTCGCAAGAGAATTTACAGCGCCATTATGTAGGCAGGTATATAGCTGCCATGAACCGCAGGTCCATGCACAAGCACTGGCATGGCAGTTAACGACGTTCAACTAATTATTTTCTGAACTGTAGAAATCAAATAATACCAATAATGAAATAATTCCATAATAATTAATTACAAAAATATACAAACGTAGTAATATTTTTTCTTATTCGCGCTGAAAATAATGTCTCCCCAAATAGTTTTCCCCATGAAATGTTTAGCGATGATCCGGTAAACGCTGTAGCTTAGCGATGATCCGGTATGATAGAATAGAATAGAATAGAATAGAATAAAATAGAAAAGAATAGAATAGAATAGAACAATAGAATAGAATAGAATAGAATAGAATAGAATAGAATAGAATAGAATAGAATAGAAGTGTCGGCACTGAAGAAATAGGCCCATGGCCTGTTGCCTATGGCAGTTAACGACGTTCAACTAATTATTTTCTGAACTGTAGAAATAAAATAATACCCATAATGAAATAATTCCCATAATTAATTACTTATTCACGCTGAAATTAATCAATCTCCCCATATCGCTTTCCCCATGAAATGTTTAACCACATTATCGCTGTAGCTTAGCGATGATCCGGCTTGATTAATGACTAGGGATTAATAAGTATATAGTTTAAGTTATTATCCCGTGTACATCGTAAGTGTTCTGCACAATCGTGACTATCGTCTCAATTAAGTATCAGCGATGCTGCTGTGTTATTCCCACCCTTCACGTCCGAATAGTCAAATAACTGCAGACAACAGCTAGTATGTCGTCTTATATTAGGATAATATTCAAGTTAGAGTGAGCACGCTTCACATATCAACTAACAGTATTTTCTAGGTTAAAGTTCTCTACTATGACTACTAGAACTGATCATGAGCATATCTAAGAAATGTTTAAAATAACTATTTGATGCAGTAAGGAATTTAAAATGCATAACTTGCATATGCATAACCATCGGTGGAAATTATCAATTTTCCGAAGACAAAAACTGTTATGGACCATATGTATATCAATAGTCTGCTTAAATGGTAAGTTCACAAAGAATTAATAATCAAAGGAAACGCCAAGCAAGTTCGCCATATCTTCATCGAAAAAGTTTTCATAGAAGAGATAGTGAACTTGCTTGGCTTTTTTTTTTATTTTTAAATTCTTGTATTATTGAACAAAATTAGGTGCGTTTAAAGGGAAAAGGCCAAGGGAAAAAATTAGCATGACGCTCCATAAAAGTGATGCATGGGCAATCAAGCCGGCTGAACGGCCCATCAAAATCTACTCTGGGTCTTCTCCATCAGGGTCCTTTCACCTGTCCTTTGAGGTCTACCTAAGGGAAAATCTTTGCGTCAGGGTCTACCTCTTATTAAGGGGAAAATATTTTCATCAGGGTCTACCTATCCTTTGAGGTCTAACTCTCCTTGAGGGAAAATCTCTGCGTCAGGGTCTACCCCTTATTTAGGGGAAATCTGTCCATCAGGGTCTACTTGTCCTACAGGTCCATCTCTCCATCAGGGTCTATCTCTCCATCGGGCCCATCAGGGTCACCTTTCTTTTATTTATTTCTGGAGAACGATTCTAACTTCGCGGATCAATTTATGTCAGAACTTTAAATTTTCTTTCCTTAACATGTTGGTTCTAATGATTTCAACGAAACTGAAAGCTTGAAACAGGATACAAATTTTCACTAAACATCTGACCGACTGCCTTCTTTAAATCATTCATGATTTATACCAAGAGTCGAAATATATGTTCCTAGGCTAAGCTAGAGTAGGAGATTCCAAGCATTAATGACGTCTGGCTGGACACCGCCAGGAAGCTATAATTTTGCTTAATGCAACAATTACTCACTAGACATTTTATTTCAAATAGATAGAAATAAAGTCATATAATATATATTAATAGGGCCATTATAGACATAAACAAAGTTAGATAAAAAACAGGCGACGCTCACACTAACAGCTGTTAACGGGAAATTTACATGCCCGGGACGGCAGTTTTCAAGACCGCAAAAATTATCGAGTGAAGTTAGTGACAAAAAACGCTATATTTACGATGGAAGAGCTGCGGCAACATGCACAATGCTGCTGCTAGTGAAGAGATAACGCCTCGAGTGTTTAACTAGCAACATGCTTGGTTTGTAGAAGATAAAATGACAGTAAACATGTCATTTTATCTTCTTTGTAGTACATTTTTTCATTTTTTGCAATAAACCTTTGAGTAGGAACATGTTTCTGTTATTGAAAAGAAAACGACTGTAGGGACTGTTTGAGGAGCAACATGCTGTCGACATGAAGGTTTGCATCATGTTTACCCTCCGTACCTGCACCACGACATGGACGTCTGCATCATGTTTACCCTTCGTACCTGCACCACGACATGGAGGTCTGCATCATGTTTATCCTCCGTACCAGCAACATAATTCGCAGGTCTGTATCATGCTATTCTCTGCAACTCTAAGTATGCTTTTTGTTTCAATATTTGCGCATGCCAACATTTTTCAAGTAGTGCAGTGACAGTAATAGCGTACCGGAGATATCCAGGTAATGGGTGCAGCCCTCTACGGTATCATTACCCCAGTAGACCTTATGAGTTTAGAACTTCGTAGTCCACGGTCACGCTGATGCGCTGCCATCGTCGTCCTCCGTCTCCAAGTCGTCGATAGGCAAGTCGGGTCCCGGATAAAACGTTGGATGTAATTCGTCTTTTGCCCTCCATTGGGCCAGCTGATGCAAGATGCTGTTGTTTTATCAATTGCTCAGGGTAGTTTCACATTACTGGACAATCCGGCATCTTTCTCAACCAGTTTTCCAATCGTCTCTTGAATATTGCAAGGGTGAACTCCTCTCCTCTCAGCTCTTTTGGCAAGGCATTAAACAGTCTCGGTCCTGCCACGGACAGTGATCCGTCCCGAAGAGTCTGTACTCTGGCCCATTGTGCAACCCGCTACGGTATCATTACACCAGTGTGCGCACCCGTTGCACAATTTACATCCATGCACAAACAGGCTCTGGCCCTTAATATCTCTAATTTAACCTAGTAGCAACATTAACGTGAGTCCGTACAATAGTTATAACTTCAAGAAGAAGAAGAAGGAAGGCCTCCGTTGTCCCAAATCGTCGGCCATTTATGGCTTGTTAAAATTAATTATCAGATTTCTTTATCATTGTATATACGCCGTTCGTTAATCTCTTTTTAGGAGGCTTAGTCGACGCTCATTGGCTGAAAACGACTGTAGGGACTGTTTGAGGAGCAACATGCTGCTGTTATTGAAGAGAAAACGACTGTAGGGACTGTTTGAGGAGCAACATGCTGCTGTTATTGAAGAGGTAACGACTGGAGTCATGAATTTAGTAGTAATGTCCATTCTCGGTCGTTTCGTGTGATTGAAAGTCAATGCGTGGGTAATGGCTGCCTTCCTTAGGATCATTAGATCCTAAGAAACTACAACATTAAAGATATGTTGAAAGAATAAATATCCATGCGAATGGTATTTAGAGATTCAGACAGCCATAATTGGCAGTTCTCTCTCGTTTCCACTCCTATACTTTCACGAAAGATACTTTAATTTGCATTATTCATTCTCGCACCTGGAACACGACATGGAGGTCTGCATCATGTTTACCTTCCGTACCTGTAACGCGACATGGAATTGTGCTTCATGTTCAACCTCCGTACCTGTAACTTCACATGGAGGTCTGTATCCTACATTCCACTCCGTACCTGCAAGTTTGCAACATAATTTGCAGGTCTGTATCATACTATATTCTCCGTAACTCGAGGTATGTTTTTTTTCTGTAGTTGCGCCTGCCAACAATTTTCAAGCAGTGCAGTGACTGGAATATCGTACCGAAGAGGTGAATAGCAACAGAAACTGCGACACTCGTACAAGAGATCCCTAACACGAGACATTGGCCTCCTGCACGAGAGAGACAGAGGATATAAATGTAAAGAATCTGCAACGATGATTGCAGAAGCCTAAATAACGTAACCCATCAACTGCCTTGCCTACATATCAACTTAAAACCACACAACTGAGACCCGCAGTCTCACACAGCGAGTTTTGCGGGGGCGTTCAGTAACAATGCCACTAGCTTCGAAAAATCCCATAGGACTAAAGCGCCAGAAGGTCCCTAGGACTCAAGCGTCTTGAGTCCTATGGGATTCAAGCGCCATAAGACACCCTTGAGGAGGTCGCAGATCTTGAGAATAATTTTGTCGATTACGGCTGACACAATCGCAATAACCGCTGAGTATGTTGATTTGATTTAAATGTGAGCGAATATGATTAAACCTTCGAATATACAAATGCTTAGAATTTTAATCCCATCTTAATTCAAGGGTATTGAGTATTTGCACAAAACGAAGACTTGTATGGTGTACGACATCGATTTCATCTTGAAGGAAATAAATTGGACATTTCGCCTGAAATGCTTTGCCCCGCCCATAGTGACAACGTTTTAAATCTTTCGTGTTGCCAAAGCATTTTGTAGGAAGTATAAAAATAAAACACAGAAATCAGAAAGTAATAAAATATAAAGCAGAGAAATCCGCACAAACATAAGTACTACAAAAAAGGCACAGTTTTTAATCAAAGTTATTTTAATGAAGTTAACAAAACGTGTATCTAATTGACAATTAACACTAAATACAAGAATCACCAACAGGCTAGATTGAGCACAAGTAAGGCACATGGTATTAAGTATTGGCAAATATTAAAGTAAGCCAAAGCCAAATCCTCAGGACTAGCTTCTCTAGGACACATACCGGTAACATCAAAAATACTTATTACGTAGCAGGCAATGAAAAACAGTACAGCAAAAGTTGTGATAAGTGAAAAATATGTACTTCGTTTGTTACTAAATACTAGTCTAGCTGGAAGCTCGTCATTAGAGAACATTGTTTTAAGAAATCACCTCGTCGCATGCTTGAACAAAAACTACATATGTAGTAGAACAAATATGAAGTAGGTATAAACATTTCCAAGTGACTGTTTTACAGAGCGGATGTTATAATAATTATGGGTTGCAAATCATTGCAGACCTTCTCTGAATATGACATCGAGTAACGTCTTCCGATGACTTCTGTTGTTGGAGCTGCAGTGAAATGGTCAGAATTCTGCAAGCTTCACTTCACGGCAAGTCTCATTTTAGTTAATTTACTTCACAGCAACATTTTGCTGCTGGCTTCTACAGAAATTAGTCGAAAAAATACGCGAAAATGGCATTAACGGAAAGAAAATTATGTGGAGATCGATTCGTTTTGTGCTCAAGTAATAGTAGACAGAATCAAAATACTTGTCTATTCTTGATTACTTTTCGACCATTCTAAAAAGGAATGTCTCGCCTAACTATCGCACATTTCAATATCAATACACATTATACGATAATGGCAATATAAAATTAAATAATCTGCTGACATCAGATGCAAAAACGGTTAACAGTGGCATGAATGCAAGAAAATGAGACGTGAACCTAATTAATCGACGCCAACTGCAGGGACGGTTCACGAAAAACAATGAGGATCTAAGAAAACATCGCCATTATATAAAACGGCAAAACGCTAGCTTTTTAAACAGGCACCATTCCTTGAATTTCTTCAAAACTGATTATTTCACTAGGCGATTATATGCCCTAAGTGTCCGGAACATTCAGCTGTAACCACAAGAATTTTCACAGGTCATCTTTGCAGTTTACGTTAAACAAATATGCATTTGACAAAAGAATATAGTATTAAGAAGCATACTTTTAAAGTTCTCATTCAGATCCTATTTATTAAACATTGTTTCCATAAAAAGTAATTTTACTAGGAAGCACTTTAGATTATTCACCCTCGTCGATTAATTTAGTTAGAAGTTGGGGTAAGAACATCATGATGAAGCGGTACTTGTTCATACATATCACCGGGCAATAACTACCAGTATCGGGTGATGATCCGATGCCTAAACTATTAAGAAACTATACTTAAAATAAGTAATTCATTTATACACAGCCATAAAGCACAATACTGGCCTCAGTATAATAGTAACATAACGTTTCTATTACACACAAGATTTTAACATAGCTACGTGACAGTAAACAAGAGAATATGGCAAGCATAGAAATAGGAACTATGAGAGAGACGAAAATGACTTACATTTACTGTGTAATCTTCGCTGCTAAGCGAACATAGGCTGTTCAGAAATTGCATTGGCTTAGCAATTGCTACCCGGAATGGCTTTTGTGCAACTCAATTTCCGAAATTTATGAGAACTACTAAAGCTAGGATGACAGAAAAAAACATCATTTGGGATTGTCGGAAAATATCCTGGAGCGAGAAATAATAATATTTACCACACTCAGTCTTAGAATACTTCTTGTAAAAAAACAAAACTAAATGCTTACGGAAATTAGCCGTAAGAGAAATGTTTTTCATAAGCATGAAGCTTATGAAAAACGCGTTTCAAGTTCCTTTAAAAGCACGAAGTTCGGCCGTGACTGACTTGAGGATGTCTGTAGGAGGCACCATCAGGCCGGTGTATACGAAGGAGTCGTGAACGATCTGCTCGTATTTCTCATCGCTGCACGCATTCTTCATGACACCGGGCAGCAGTTTAGCAAAGTCTATTGCATGCAAAATTTCCAGGACATTTTGATCTATGTGCCTGTCCTCAGGACAAACGTTGTGGTGAACTGATGCATGACGTCGAATTACTCTCTGCACGAATGTTCTGTTGTCGAAAGTTCTGGGTTTGCGTATGGCCGCGATGAACTGGCAGTCGTCATCCTGATACTCTTGTTTAATTGTGACCACTTCTTCAACTCTCTTAACAAACGGATCTGGATTAATTGCTTCCGTGCAGTTCTGTGAAGCTGAGCGTGATCCGTGTTCGTTCTCTTTATCTTCACGAAGACGTTTCTGCTGGACATTGTTATTGGACTTCAACTTTTTATAGGCAAAGACAAATTTAGACAGTGAGTGTTGGAAGCATTCAAAAACCAGTTGTTTTTCAGAAGTCCGGCCAGTTGCGCCACAGAGTTTCTCCCATAATGAAGACTCCACCGAACGTAGAAGGCTGATGGACTCTAAATCGAAGAGGGATTTCAGCGCACTCAGAGAACCGTTTTCAGCTAATAGGCGTTTTGCGCCCGAAATCCAATCCTCTAGAGGCTTTAAAATACCCCCTAAATTATATTTAGAAACAGTTTCAGCCTGCTCGACGAAGTCGGAAACCACATTCCTCACATAAATAGAGTCTGCTCGAGACGAATCTTCAGACGTCGATGATTCAGCAGTTTCTTCTGACTTGGAATTTATCTCGCCCGGTTCAGATTGCCTTGCATTTCGATTGTTGTAACTAATTTCTGAGAGAAAGTCAGCACATTCATCAGAAGCATCAATTTTTGAATGCCTCTTTTCCGAATCTGCAATTGAACGGTCGCGCACCTCTCTGCTGTGAACGAGAGGCGTTTCAGAAGAACCAAGCATTGATGAAGTGTTCGAAGTTGTTGACTTCTTATTTGGTTGGATGGCAACTTCAACTAAAGAATGCTGTTGAAGCACGCACTGGCTGCTCGGAGTTTGCAGTATAACCTTGCGATGCAGTCCAGCTGATTCGTCATTTGAAGCAGGTTCACCAACACTGGAGGAATTCGTATCAAGTACACCCGGCGCAGAGAGATTTTTTTCATTCAGCATATCGTACAGCTCGCTGTCTGTTGCCAAAGTGTCTAGCCATGACAACATTAAAATCTCATCACAAGGGTTTTCCTTGTGGCCCCTGGATTCCTTCGCCGAGACAATTGTACGCATTTTGGAGCTAGGATTTTGGTTCAAATTTTCATAAAAATCGTTTTCTTTTTTCTCGAGGCAAAATAATGAAGTCTGCTCAGTCTCATCGCCATTCAAATAATTTGTAAGAGTAGACGCATTCAACTCAATTTCATTCGATGCCAGGCATTTCGCAGGGCATACATCAACTATTTCATTGGAAGGCTCGCTATGGACCACAGAAGGATCGATATTCAACGATGTCAGAGACGAGGTACTAATTTCCATGCAGGACTCTACCTCAATACTTTCCTCACGCGGATCTGAACAATTCCTTTGAATGGGATACACCCAGCTAATGGGCTTGTAGTCATGCACTGAAGTTGAGCTTTTCAATGCCGTATTAGGATGACTGGGAAGACTTGAGTCCCCTTCAGTTGACTCAACTCTCGACGGACAATTTAACCCTTGCAGTATGGAAGTCTCAATGACACCGGCTCTGCTGTGACAAATCGAATCAGGACGGTATTCTGAAGAATGAAGCACCGTTGGTGTCGAAGTCTGAGCAGCTTCTGCAAAAAAATTTGATCCAAGATCATTAGTTACATGTTGATCAACTGATTTCATTGCACTGATTGTGGCTTTGTGGTTCATTTCATTGATTCCCTCATTCATCGTAAGTTTAAGTTGAGGAGCAACAGTAAGCGACGGTTCCTCGACCATTTCAAGTTTTGAGCGTTCTATTTTGTAATTATTGCTTTCGGAGCCAAATTGATCAGCTGATGACATGCTTGTTGATCTGGACCGACGAGACTTCTTAGAACTGTGACGTTTCTTGGACGTGCATTTGGGTGATCTGCAACTCTTGCGCCTCGTTTTATCATGGCTAAGAGTTTCATTGGATTCAACTAGATTTGAGAGTTCGGATTGATCACGAGAAATGAACGTGTTCCCAATCTTATATTTAGTTTGACAGTGTACGGGTGTAAGGCTCTGGTGTTGGTCAGAGGAGCAACTGTGGTTTCGGCTTTGGTCACGCTTTAGGCATTGATCTTGTTTTTGATTTCGATTGGGAGATGGAGATTTTGATGGAAAACAACTTTTGTTTCGACGAAACTGTGGAGAACGGCTTCTGTTACGAGATCGATGGGGAGATCGACGGGAAGAACGGCTACGGTTACAAGATCGATGGGGAGAACGGCTACGGTGCCGAGATCGATGGGGAGAACGGCTACGGTGACGAGATCGACGGGGAGAACGGCTACGGTGACGAGATCGACGGGGAGAACGGCTACGGTGACGAGAACGACGGGGAGACCGGTTGCAGTTTCGAAATCGACGGGGAGAACGGCTACGGTTTCGAGATCGATGGGAAGAACGGCTGCGGTTTTGGGCTTGATGGGGAGACCGGCTACGGTTTCGAGATTGATGGGAAGAACGGCTGCGGTTTCGAGATTGATGGGGAGAACGACTCTGATTCTGAACAGGATGCGGAGAAGGGCTTTGGTTCTGACTAGGATGGGGAGAATTACATCGATCAGCACGAGAATAGCTTTCATTTTGATGAGAAGAGGGAGAATGACTTTTCTTTTGATGTTTATGCATTAATAAAATTTTCTCTGCCAGCTTCAGATACTCATTTTTAAACTCGTGGCTCAGAACAGTATTTGAAAGCTTCATATTATTTATTTCCTTACAGCTCATCAGCTTGACTTCCTCTTTAGTTGTGTCAGAGGATGAAGAGCTCTGATCCACCTTACACAGATCAATAACTTCACTCATCTTACCCACATTTTCAACAGCCAAACTCACTCCAATACTGTTAGTAACTTTTGAAATTGTTCCATTAGGAGGTTTCGAACTATTCAGTATCGGAGATGCATTTTTTTCATCATTCAGAGATAATGTTTTTTGTTCTTCTGTACAGCCTACAGAATCAAAGATATCCAAATTTTCTAAAGGAATTCTCGATGCCAATCCCCATTTATGTTTTCCACTCAACAAATTTTCAATGAATTTTCTGCAAGAGTATTCTTCAGAGGGCTTGTGGAGTTCCATTTCATTTGATTTGCTATTTTCAGAAGTAATGCTGTTCAAAGACCAATGACAGAAGGGATCAAAAAACGTTTGCAGTTTAGAAGCGTCATCTCCATATTTTTGTGTCATTCTTGATTTGTAGCTAAGCACTTTTTGTTCCAGTTCAGCAGCCATGAGCACTGGCAGTCTTTGTTGCCAGTGATCCTGAAAAATTTGCTAAATTAAACATTTTAATATTTCAGGAGGAGTGACACTTCTGTTTTAGTTTATTCACAGCAAATTTTAGCTAAAAATGGATAGATCTATTTCATGAAACTGTTCAAACACTAGTTTCTACTTCAAAGCAACTGAAAAATGATTCATGTACAGAAAGAATTCAAATATTACTGGTTTATTCAAAATGATTGATTCTTTTAGAGAAAGATTTTGAATCAGAAAGATGGTTGAATTTTCCTCTCAAAAATGACATCAATGAATGATCTTACTTGTGCATAATCCATATTAGACAACTTGAATGGTGATAATATGTCACTTATATCTTCAAAATTGCATATGAAAGCTAAGATTACCATGAATGCAGCAGTGTAGTCATACTGCATGAAACTGGCACCAAGACTTGTGATGGATGTTGATCGATTGCTCACAAATTTGAGCCACTCTTCATGATAGAGCGGGTGGCACTTGGGGTCTTTGGAATAGATCTCAGTCATCCTCACATGCTCCATGTGTAACTCCTCCCACTGATGCATCATGCTGCCAAGTAAATACATGGTATCAATTGTAGTAATATATGTAACAGATTAGATCATATAGAAATGTGATCATGTATGTACATGGATAGTTGTGAATAATCATAATTCAATTATAATCTATTGTGGAAAATGCATATGGGTAATAAATATAAATTTATATATTGTTATACATATACATATATACATAAGCAGCATCTTGGAGAATAAAATTGTACGTTTTGAGAATGAAAATTAAAGACATTTGTACTTATAAATTTGATACCTACACCACAAACTGCAGAGACTGAGAAAATATATGAAGATCAATTGTGATTCACAGCATTAATATCTATGTCTTCAGAAGATCTTGCCATCATATTTTATACACAAAATAATAAGTAATTGCAAATGTAATTAGCAAAATAATAAGTAAAAAAATAATAAATAAATAAATAATGATAACAATAAAAAATTAAAAAATAAATAATAAATAAAAAATAAAAAATGCAAAAATAATAAGTAATTGCAAAGTTGACTCAAAAATTGATAGGTAATGAAGGTGATACAGATTACCTACTTATTGCCAAGAATCTAGTAGGTGGACAACAATGTGTCAGTATTAATGGAACTGTATCAAACTGGCAACAATGTGCAGTGGCATGCCATAAATAAGTGTTCTTAGAAGTGTGAAACTCTGAGAATGGAAATATGCATGAATTGGCAACAGGCCACATCATGCCTATTCTTTAGTGCTGACATCACTATGATTTTATATGAAGATTGGAAAATTTCCATCTATTACTGAACTTGTAAAGCTTGAACTTATACATTTTTAGTTTCATGGCTCAATTGTGTACTTTTGTTAACAATGGGATTAATAAGATACAAGATATCTAATTCGTCTAAATGAATCTTACAGCTTAAAAATAGTAGGAATTTAGGAATGCTCAAGAGGCAGCTCCTAGCATAGATATGATCTATAGCTGCTTTTGCCAACATAGACTAACAAATCATCATGTGCACTCAAATTGTCAAGTGCACTCAATTCAGTGCACTATTGAGTGTAGCACTCCCTCAATATTCAGTCAATTTGTTCATCACAGATTTTCATAAGAGAATTACTTGAACTTTGGCATCTATGAGTAAAAACAAAAGGAGCATTTGACATGTAGGCCTAACTGGAAATAAGACAACTTCTAATAGATACGTAAGCCTGTTATTGAACTCCGCAGATGGCACTAAATCCGCAGAGGCACTAATTCCGCAGGATGCACAAAATAAATTATTTAAAATCTCATTCTTCAGCGCAATAAAAGAAGTGAAATCCATGCAAAGTTCAAAGCATGATGCCAGGAAAATTTGTCAGATGAATGCCAGACATGCAAAAGAAGTAGCTACCACACTTGAGAAACCAATAAAACATGAATTCAATCTGTGTATGAATACCGTACCTACCAGAGCCCTGGCTCACCGAATACGAGAGTGCATAATCAACAATAAGACATTCCTTTACAACTAAATAAATGGTTTGTTCAGATGTGTTTTTTTCATATTAAATTGGAATGCATTGTGAACTTTGGTTTGGCTCTCATGACTCAAGCCCGTCATGGAAAATTGCTGCACTGTTACATGTCAGTGTCATTGCAACTTAATTTCAATTTTCAAATGTTTCAGCATCAGAACCAAGGATTAATTCATCAAATTAATTATAAATTTCTTGATTTCTCAGTATTCTGAGCAGTGTAATATATCTCACATTTTTCTTGCATTGGCCTTGAAAAATGCAAATGTTTGGTTGTATCTGAACAATTCTCTGCAATGTTAGAGTAAATTCCACATTAATCAATCTAAATAAGTTAAAATTTGAATATAGGTATTCAATAGTTACAAATACATTCAAACTTTTCAAATAGATACTTAAATTTTACTCAAAATATGATGAATAGATAAAGTATCGATTCCTGAAAAGAAATTATTGTATTTGGAAGTACAATCAATTTTTATTTACTTCTATCAAAATTATTGTTAGATACTGTTCTTTTAATTTTTATGTTCAATGATAGATTATTTCATCCATGACAGAGCAGAAATAGGTATAGTATATTTAATTGAGGTGATGCAAATGTTAAGTAGACATTAATGCTGCATTGCTGCTTGTAGTTGAATTACCTTGCACTGCAATGTACATGCATTGAAGCTGGTATTACTACCATATGTAATGCATGGGATGGGTCAGAGTTGGAATTTTCCTACTCGTTTCTGAAATCTCGCGGCTCAAATGTGACAAATTTTTAATACAATTAGAATCTTGTGGCCCGATCATGCACTTTTATTGACAATTAGATATGAGGTAATTCATCTGGCAGAAATCTTGCAGTTGCGGAAATCATGGGAAAGCTTTAGTTGTGGCCTTAAAGGTAGATGTTTTCCATGCTTGGGATGAGTTACATATCTTGATGAAAATATTAAAGTTATTAATATGATATTATGGCAAGTAAGGGAAGGTAATTCAAGTGTGGACTGTGGGGCCCATACCATTACCACACAGAGTAGTGACAGGAAGAGAGCTGTGTGCACTGTGCAATGTGGCATACAAACCGCTGAGTCAGCTGGCCTCTTGTGAATCGAGTGAATGTGAGGATGGGCAACCTGACGGTCCTGACCATTGGCCAGAAAGGCCACTGGGCACTGGGCACTCTACATGAGGGCTTAAACATGCCCATTGGTCTTACACTCTTACAATCTCCAACTCACGTATGAGGTTTTTTACCAATGTCATCACCACTCACAAAAAAGATTCTCTTATAGTTATGCTTGCCATATCCTCTCATGAACAAGCCACTCTTATGCTTGTCCATCAAGTTATAGTACATGATGTACATCTGTTTATTACCTTAAATTTACTGTTGGCCCGTGTTGGGCATGTAGCCGCATAGTTCCATTGTGGGAAATGGCAAACAATGTTGAGTCAAATGTATAAGTAGAGTTAGTAGACCAGTGGCAGTAGGCAGTAGCAGCACTGCAGCAGTAATTATTAGGTATGCAAAAGCCTAAAGTCCCAAACCCAATGCGGCAATGCCCAAATGAAAGGAATGCAATATCACACAAATAAATATGGCAGTGCCAAATTGAGCATGCACTCAGTGTAGTGTTTGAGTACTACTGTTAACTGTAAGTCTGTAAGTACTTAGTAAACTACAGTCAACAGTGTAGTCACTGTAGTGAGTGTAGTCAGTGTAACTGTACCATACTCTATTCTAGCTAGCTGGAGTCTTAACTCTGGTCTGGAGGCTGAGCAGGACAGATGGCAGTACACACAAATGACACAATCACATTTATGCCTTATTTTGATTCTACCATCATCCATAGATTCCATTATTCCATAAGATGCTCGATTGATGATTGACAGTCATCTTGTCAATTGATTCTAAAACTAGTCCACTAATTTTCAAATAAAACTAGTCCAATTACTCCACTAGGCCAAGTTTGAAATGTACCTACTATCTTATCTTCAATCCGTAAGCTGAATAAAACTTACTTGCTTACACAATTGTACATGATGACTGACTTGTATGTCATGATGTCATTTACTGACTCTTTGACCTTGTATTACAGCTGCACGGCCAGTACGGGTACGACTGTAATGGTAGTAGACTCTAGACTAGTAGTTGTGAACTTGTACACTAACACTTGTACCCACAAAACATTCCATTGACGAAGTTAAGATCAGGATCTCCGTTTCGAAGCTGCAGGCTTTCTAAAATAAAATGGAAGCTAAAAGCATGAAAATTCCACTATCATACCATAGGAATTTTAGAAACGATTGTAGAACAAGTTGTGAAGGATTATATACTTCAGAAATTGGTTATCAACTTATCAGATGATAAAGCTCTACCGGGGCCGGCGGCAGTACGCGACAACGCATGCGGTACACAGCTCGTTCAGTCGTACTAGGCTCGTAGAGGCTGAGTCGTAGCGGCGTGTTAAGGACGGACGCCCGGATTTTATTTCGTTGAACATTTATGAGAGCTTCTGAAGACTTTTCCCGGTTGTTTCCCATCATGCACTCGATTGTTGTTCGATCAAACATGTAGTGGAAAACAATATCGCATAGATCAGTGTTTTTCAAAGTGGGCGATATTGCCCCCTAGGGGCGGTGCAAAGATTTTGGGGGGCGGTAAAGAAGAACAGGGCAATAGGAAGGCGACAGTCTGAAGTCGAAGTTCGAACGTTTGATTGACGATTTGTACACAACACGTGCAGCACATGACTCCCAGCGATGGTTTTTTCACCCAGATCTGTTTTTAGCGCATTTTTTCATTTCTGACAAAATGCACTATTGTGCTCGCCATGTTCGTCCGTCTGTCTGTCCGTCCGTGACTTCACGTTTTCGTCGACGAGAAAATGCGCTGTCACTCACTGCAGTGAGTTCTGAGTTATATTTTCTTAACCTCTCTATCTCTCAAACTAATGAACTTAACGCGATGAAAATTGGTACACGTATTCATTAAGACCTAACGGTAATGTAAAGCTCGTGACATTTTTTTTTTATTTTGCCTTCAATTGTTTTTGCCATATTTATATAGCAATATGGGCCGAAATTCACAGTGATCAAGGAATTTCTTTTAAACTACTGAACAGATTCGAACGAAATTTTGAATTTACAGTCCTAACTACCGAACGACGATGTTTAGGTCGTGAAAATTTTTTCTATTGCGCCTTCGTTCGCGAGTTTTATTCGCGATTTAAACAGCAATACGTGCTTAAATTTGCAGTAATCAAGAAATTTCTTCCAAACTACTGAAAAGATTTGAACGAAATTTAGTATTTTAATACCTAACCTCAGCAACGGTGATGTTTAGCTCGTTAAAATTTTTTCGTTTTACCTTCGTTTGCGAGTTAGACGGCTATACGTAAACGGCTCTTTTTTTAAACCGGCCGGTAGAAAAGCCGGTCGGCCGGTAGAAAAGCCTGTATAACTTGCGAACGAAAGCGAATAAGGAAGTGCAGTGAAATCAAGAATGACGGTGAAATGAAAAAAATCGCGCAAACGAAGGTAAAATAATTTTTTTTAATCTAAATAAATACCATTTGGTAGTTAGGAATGTATATTCAAAATTTCGTTCAAATCTGTTCGGTAGTTTCGAAGAAATTCTTTGATCACTGCGAATTTTGGCCTGTATCGCAATATAACTCACGAATGAAGGTGATATTTAAAAATTTTTCGCATGCTAAACATCACCGTTAAGTTCTGTTGAATACATGTTCCAAGTTTCACTGAGCTGCGTCCATTAGTTTGGGAGATATTACTTGATAATTGAATTTCGAGATTGGTCGTGAGACCGGCCAGGAGTCCGGCCGTAAATTCGCCTGCGGCATCCTAGGTTTCTAGTGTTGAAACAGTTAAAACAGCTGAAAAACATATTGGTTCAGCAAAAGGGGTTCTATTTGTGAAATACAAATTTGTGTTTAACCTTTATCTTTTAAAATTACAGCGTACTAAATTTTATAGAAAAAAGCGCATGATTTTATTTGTGTCTGTGGGGGGCGCTAGAAATTCACTAGGGAGCCAAAGGAGGCGCCAGCCTGAAAAAGTTTGGGAACCACTGGTATAGATCAACCAAAAAAGCTTTGTTGTTAGTCATATTTAATCGACTATTCAACAAGTCTATTTTTACTCAGCCAAGAAAAGTAACATGGCTTATGAGACATGACTTTGCAACTTATAATATATATATGGTGTAGACCCTACGTAGTTATGGAGCCAGTAGATTAAAAACCTACTCTTTGTTTAGAAGAGCCTATAAAGATAAGACTCGCTTGCAGATAGGAAGAGATAGTGACACAGTCCCGTCCATTTCCTGCACGAAGCATCTGTTGAGACAAATGTTTTATGCAGTGTAAGTCTGACCTTCAAGAGATGCTATAGTGCACTGTCGTTAGAGAAGTGATAAAGTTTACAAATAATAGTAATATTGTATTCGGTTGTTGATTATTTTATTAGTGTTGCGGTAAAGACGTTTGATCTGAACAATGGTCAGGAGAAATGTATTATCTAATAATTAAATTAGCTATGAAGTAGTTCACTAGCAAATCGCATATTTATTGTGCATTTGTGGGCTCATCGAATTGTGAAAAATATAGGAAAGTGTGTCTATATCGTGAAAATCTATTGTTTTTCTTTGCCCATCAAGTTTACAAATAGTTAGAGTTTATCGAAAAACAACACATATTATTTATCTCTTTTCCCTTCACTGCAACATCAATCAAGGTACGTCTGAGTTAAATATTTATTTTATATATTAAACATGGCATATGTAAATCAATTATTAAGAGATATAAATAGCTTAAACCTTTGCATCGTCATGGTAATCAATAGAAGAATTATTATTGTTAGTTATAATCAACTTCAAATTTCGAGAAATGTTTAACTTACGAGTTTAATCATTTTCTAAATGCTACAACGACTCGAAAAATTGTTCCCTTTTATTTTCCTTGATTCAAAGTCCGATTGCGATTGCTATAAATCCGTTTTTAATAATAAATATTAACATAAGAAATGATACTAATTAAGTATAATAATGAGAGTAATATTATTTAATAATATTAGTAAAATGAAAACTAAGAAGCATGAATGCAGGTGGCGGGTGCCCATTTCTCGCCCTCAGCAGGCATGTGCGATTTTTGCGCGTTCGTTCATACATATAACTTGAAATTGTTATTTTTTGTTGTTGATTGTTTTTAAATAGCTATTTCGGTTGTAGCTTGCTTCAGTTGACTCACGTACTCTACATCACTTACGAGCTACGCTACACATCATGTACTCTACATCACTTACGAGCTACGCTGCACATCAAGTACTCTACATCACTTACGAGCTACGCTGCACATCATGTACTCTACATCACTTACGAGCTACGCTGCACATCATGTACTCTACATCACTTACGAGCTACGCTGCACATCATGTTCTCTACATCACTTACGAGCTACGCTACACATCATGTCCTCTACATCACTTACGAGCTACGCTACACATCATGTTCTCTACACCACTTACGAGCTATGCTACACATCATGTTCTCTACACCACTTACGAGCTACGCTACACATCGTGTACTCTACATCACTTCAAAAAAATACTAAAGCCAACAAAAATTGTCGTTCAAATGAAACGTACAAATGAACATGAGATCAAAATAATCTTATAGCTTTGTTACCGTGTGATAGCGGTGACGTGCTTCCATATGCGCACCCAGAGAAATGGGTGAGAATTTAACGAAATAGTGATGCATTTTTGCTTTAGTGTGGGCCAACTTAACCTAGTTTAGACCGGCCAAAGGACGTATCATTGCCAGGTTCGTTATCTCCTCGTGCTGTGGGTAAAAAAGTGTGTCACTATTTGACTCATTCATTATTCTGAGTGAAGGGTTTGCAGAATGGCAGCTCTAATTCTCAATTCTCCTGCCAATCGATTTTTCCTCAAGTTGTAAAGAATAATATTCACTTGAACTGTTTATTTTCTTCGCTGTTCCGAAAGAAAACCCTTCTAATACTAATATTATATAATATTAGCATTAATATTAGTAATATAATATATAATATTATTACTAATATTATATATTATATTAGTATTACCATTGCTCGAATCCTGGAAATAAGAAATAGCGTTGCAACACGCCTTGAGATCAGGTGACTCATGCGTGACCATGCTACAGGTGTCATTTCATTTCGCATTGTTCATGCCACGCTTCATTTATTATCACTCAACTTGTCAATGTTACTTCGACATGCGAGAAAGTCATTAAAAGTTGCAGAGAAGGATACAAGGAGAGTATGCAAATTAGATTGTGAGTGAAGATTAAGGAGTGTTTTCTTGTATGCGGATGATGATTCACAGTAACGATATGACGTCACGATGGGAGCATTATAAACGAAACAATGCGGATGTGAGCGAAACAAAACGGAAAAATTGTGTCCGCTTCTCCAATCAAGATCTTAGTTAGTCTTTTTATTGGTTATAATTTCTGCTTATTCCCAATATTAAAATACATCATATGCTACAAGTAATCCTAAACTTCGAAGTAGATAGAGGATATTGATTGAAATCTGAGGAGCATATCAGATTGCTCAAGTTCGTGTCCGCCTCTAGGAATCAAAACTTCAACGCCAACAGCCCGTCTGGATTTACCGACGTCAGTTGGCTGTTGGACTCGGAAGTGTTGGGTGCGAAACCTCCCGTGCGCTGCATCCTGTGTGAAGCCTTCGAAGGCTCCGGAAATTCATTTATAGGAGGATACATTTTTTGTACAAAATGTTGCTATTCAAATTTTATTCGATGTTTTCTATCCGACTTTGCTTGCAAATCTTATTGCGAAACGCCTACGTTGTGACAGTTAGGATTTAGGAAACTGTGTCTGAGAATCAGCTGTTTCCGCGATAGTAAGGTTGAATGTGGGATGTGTTGACAGTGACGTCATGGGCAGTTCGGATTAGGAGGATATCGTGATGCTTACTTTAAATTTCACGATTGCTGAATGCTGACGAGGTCAACGTTAGAGTGTATTTCAATGTGCCACGTGTTGATTTACGTTGATTAGATCACACTTGCTGACTGAAAACTTATTGAAAATTTTAGACTAGAGCGAATTTTAGGACCACTACTGACTACTAGTCACCGGTTAAAATATTTGGGATGAATTCATGGAACCATTGTGACGAAACGGTTGTGCGACATCAAAAAATTGTCGATTGTTATTGTTGCTATAAAGTAATGATTTCTTTCTACCATCACTAGCGCAAGGATTTGAGACGTATTTGCCATTGTTCTCAGTCACAGCTAGTAGCTCTTCGTGCTGCAAATAGTACCTTTTATAATCGTGTTGCTGAAAACTTCCTCTCGGTAAAAATTGTAAATGTTTTGATTATAGTCCTTTCCCTTCATTTCTCACCAATTTTGCCCGTAGGCCGTAACTCGAGTGTGAATTTGAATATTACAACGCCACGCCTCTACCTAACTTGGAAGTTGGCTATGCCTGGAAATATAGCATCGCCACCTCGCTATCTAACCTCAGTAACCTGGCTGGAAATATAGCATCTCCACCTCTCCAAGACTCCAACTAACCAGGCTGGATCACTTGGCAGCCGTGTTTCTCCCTCAAACCAAAGCTGGTTTTCATATTGATGATCGCATATTTCATGCGTTTAGTGTACGTTCGTTAACAATCCTAACTAGTAATTGGTGTTCCTATTACAAATTTCTCATACAAGCTCATATTAATTGACATTCCTGTTAAGCTCTCATTTTGCTATCGGCTGCCGCACATTATGTGCGTTTGGCATCCGTCAATTAACGTTTCTAACGAGTAATAGTTAGTTTGAATTATGCTCTAGGTATTACAGAATAGATAATTTGAATTTGTCATTTAGTGATATGATGTCTAACAACGTAATTTGATTGAAGATATCTTAGTATCCCAATAGCTTTTATTTGTAATTTCCATCATTTAATTTAAATATTCATGAATAAAGTGGGGTCCTTCTGGTAATTTATAAACTTAAGCGTTTAGTTTGAATCGTAATGGAACGGAAGTGTCATAGTTGTCGTGTGCCTCGTGTCATTAAACGTGATCATTATCATGTATACCATTATTTTGAATGCTTACGCGGCAATTGAATATAAATTGGTTTTTGAACCTTGACCCTGTTCAGTGTAATCGTTTAAAGAGACGATAATTAGGTTGTTTTTCACTTGAATTCAATTTTAGTGGATTATATACATACCGGTACTATATTTCAGGATACAAATATTTAGAAAGTTCGCGTGAAATAGCGGCATTTAAAACAAATATTTCATTTAATTATTTGCTCAAATTAGCCTGACATTTTCTTGCAATATGAATCTCAGTATCTCAAGGTTTTGGCTTCATTACGAAGCCGTCTTACCATTGCGTACATGCGTGACTTGTTGACATCATCTAATTGACGATCATCTTGGGACTAATGATTACTTTGAGACTTGAGATCATTATGTTATTTACATCGGTTAGATGTGCTATGAGTAGACTGATACTGAAAGTGTATCGTGGCATTTCTATTGGGTTCAACGTGCTTTCAAAGCGACTGACACTAAAGTAAAGGCATAATAAATCGTTGACTTTGCCTCCGCTGACAATTCAGATTTTAGACTTAGCCTACCTGTCGCATTTATATATTCTAAAGTTACGATCACTTTAGAACAAATTCACGATCGCCGAACGTTGAATGTGTCGATCTCTGTTGAACGTTAACTTTCTGTAAATATGTGATCCTTGTTAACGCAAGACTCGCTGCCGTTCGCAATGTTCCAGTTAACTTTCCTACGTCTAACATCATTAAGAAAATTAAGCGTAAGCGCGCTCTCACTAGCTTTCCCTGTCTTTGTTAAATGCTACAAGTAATGCAATAGCCGCTACAATTCCGGCACAATTACTACGAAAGCCTTTACAATCAATACAATAGACGTATGGCTCATTATATACAGCTGCGGTCTCAGTGAGTGAGTCACGTCGCAATCATCAATTAATTCACAGTACATGCGATGCTCGGCTGATATATAATTGCTTCTGAGATAAATTTAAAACGATGGGAAAGTAGACCGTATCTTTCTTCAGTGGTCAGCCTGGAGGCCGGGGGGTGACCACTATTCTCTTTACTAGATTTGTAACTTAGAAAAGCGCTGTTCTCCTTACTTGAGTTGTTCATACAACTTGATGGAAACAGAACGGGGATCAATTGTGCGATTGATGTACTGTACTCGAGGTGCTAGTTTACTTGCTTTATCTTTTTTTCTGCCCTGAATGATTGATCGTAATAAGGATGACGACTGAAATATTTTTAAATGCATAAAATAAAGAAAATTCAACAGGAAACTTGTAGTTCATACGACACCGGCGTTGCAATAACCACTCGTGTATCTCCTACCACTCACAACTCGAGGCGACTCAGCTTACATTCACTCGACACGCTCCAATTTCTGATATGCAACACGCATCTCTTGACAGCAATTTCTGCGTGGAATTTAACAACTCAAGTTGAATTGCTCTCTGGGTTTCAAACAAATGGGTGAGACGCTAAAATTTGTTCCGCTAATATTCATCGTTTGTTGGAAGTGGATGTTCTACGTGAACAGGATGCGTACGTTTTTCGATACTGGCAATTATATTGCTTCAGTCTTACATCTCTTATCGGTAGCGAAATCATTTATCTGAACAATTTAGTGATGTGTTTTTTATTTCCCGTAGAGGTGTTATCATTCATGAGATTTTATTTATTAGTTGAGGCGATTGATTCGCTTCTATATACAAAGTGTATACGGTGAATTCACTGCTTTTGTAACGTGTGGTCTGTAAGGTGTTTAATTTCTGAGACAAAAACATATTTAAGAAGCATAGTGTGAGTGTAAACCGTTGTAAAAATGCGTTTCTCAAACAAAACTACGACGGGTTCATCGCTCTCGGCAAGCAGTCTCCCCGATCCTAGGAAGGCTCTAGCCATGGCCCTCCACGGCGCCCCCGCTCCCAAAACCTACAATGACCCTTGCCAAAGAAACCACCACCCTAACGGCAACGGATGTGCTGGTGATCAACACGATTATTCTGCAGCCTGTCCAAGCAAGAACGGCAGTGGTGGCCACAACAATAAACAAGATCTTGGTGCAAATAACTATCCTAGTGGTAACAGCAATGGTACGCATAGTAATGGTCGACATGCAGAGCACACCCGACCTAGTGACCACAGAGCTTCCGGCGACCAAGTACCTCTTGCCAAGAAGTCGTGGAGCGAGTCGAAATTAGGCGGAATTTTTAGTGCTATCGTGGATGACAGGAAGACAGTCCGCAAGAAGAACGACTTCCATGTTGTGCCAGATGGCCGTACTAAGGTAAGATGAATTAATTGTACCGAGGTTTGTTGCATGAATTCTATCTTATTTGTTCCTATCACTCCCAAAAAGCTAGTTTTCAAACTGTATCCTTTGTTTGCTTGTCGCGTAGAAGTGTCGACACCTATTATGTTTCTACGGGTTTAGGTAACAAATAACATAACTTGGACTGGACAAATTTTAAGTTGACTTGTTGCAAATTATTAAATCTTCTTATACTCTCAGTGAATATTGACGATTAATATAGTGAATATCTCCATAATATGCTATCATGTACAGGCATCTCGATGCGTAACTCCATGATACGGGCTGCTGATGCACAGACCATGCTCGCTTTATTTATAGACCATTTATTTATACAAGGGTTCTCTACAATGCATGGCCAGTAACCGCATACACCACAGAAAATAATGTTTCTCTACATACAAAAATGCAGGCCCACAAAATGATGTAGTAAATCCCTATGAGTTTAAGTCTTCGAACGCGATCTGCTGCTCAGTAAGAGTTACATTAAAAAGTGTAAGCGCTTTGACCCTGACCGTTCCTACAGGTGTCGCAGGTTGCGTTCTCTGTATTTATGCAACTGGAGTGGCTAAGCAATGCGGAGCCTGACGCAACACCTCACATCTCCTTATATCACTCTGATATCTCCCGCCCCGTGACGATGCAACACATTGCACGAGGTGTTGCAACGCCATCGAGAAGTTCCTGCTATATACATCGTCTAAATATCTACCGATAGCACAGTGTTCCTCAAGCACAGAGTTCAAACTCGGTGTTCCTCAAGCACCGAGTTCAAACTCGGTGTTCCTTAAGCATCGAGTTCAAACTCGGTTTTACTCAAACACCGAGTTCAAACTCGGTGTTTCTGAAGCACCGAGTTTAAACACGCGTACGTCGTAGTCACTAAAATTTATTACACAATAATTGTAAAAGCTGTGGAACAACGGAAGTCGACGAGTTCGGAATTCAACGTAACCGGGAGCCGACGCCATATTTTGGCAAAATTGACTCACGCGACTTTTGTTTGCAGTCGTCGCTTTGCCGTTCGTATCAGCCGTAATAGTTGGCGTCAGTCTATCATTCGTATCCGTGTTATACAGTGGACGTTTTCTGACTCTGCTGTTCATTTTTTATATTTTTATTTTACGCGATTCTATTTTCCGTACAGAAATTTACAGAAAAATAATGGTTCCCAAGAATGTACAATGTGCTGCAAGTTATTTCAATGGTTCAAAAATGTTCGGTCTTTCTATAACGGATGCATTTTTTGTCAATATTCACGTAAATATCAATATTAATATAATATAGTACGGTATTATACTACGTAATCAATATTTCAACACGGTTATGTTTACATTCTTACATCGTGCGTGGTGCGCAGTTGCGCGACTATGCAATTGACTTATCGCGTTCTTGTTGCCCAGTTACCTGTAGTCTCCCATCTCAATAGGACTCATCGTGAAAATAAAGCAAATGAGCTATTCTTTATTAGGATTCAGTAAGACTTTGTTTCAAGGAAGAAATAATATATGAACCAATGTATTAGTTAAATGGATTTAGATTTTAGAATTATACTTTGAAATAGGAAGTGATGTTGCATATCAATTCCATTTATATTTTTTATAGAGCTAACGTATCATAGCGACACCAAAACACTTACTGCAGTATCAGTAGCTTTCTGAAATTGCTAGGGTAGTCGGTATGCATGATCAAGAAAAGATGAGATGTGGAGCTACCGTGTTTTTGGTGCATTTGATCGAATTGTGAACTGGACATAGTTTCTAATGTCTTATTTTGACTTTGGTATATCAAATGATTGACACTCTCAGTGACACTCAGCCATAGTATTCAAAAGAGCTATGATTATCTAACGTTTCCTGGTTGATACTAAATTTAACGTTTCGCCGTAATCATGTTTTACTTGTCTCAAAAAGGGAACATTATCGATTTACCTACAATAATTTGAGTTGATATGGCTTGTTTAATGAAACCATTTACCCTTTCATTAACACCGACTAATTGATTTATTTCCTCAAACCGGTAATATTCTTGATAGGAAAATTTTCTTAATAGGGTAATTTCAGTGGTGGGGTAATTTACGTCGTAGGGTAATTTACCCTAGTTTAGGGATCACTTCGTTAGCGGATATCGAGTCCCTGTTGCGTGCAGCTACCGCGTCCTTGAAGTCCTATACACGATGCTGTACAACCAGCCTTTGTCGTCTCTTTAATTGCACGTCCTGTGATATTTCCTATTCGTTATTTTAATTAATTGCCATTGAAATTGAAATTAATATGTCCTCGATTATACTTCTGTCATCGCTGGTAGAAGTTCGGCTGTTACTTCCTGTTTATTTTGAATTTGTTACTAGAGTCAGTCAAGTAGGAATAATAGGGATCAAAACTAATTATACACACGAATCATCTAAATAAAAAATATCCTAAGCGTATGTATAAAGAACTGGCTTCCCATCACCCTCAGGTTCCTGCATGACTGCAAATTGATGTCAAGGTTATTATGCGCCGTTTCTCTTTTCCTCTTATTTTCATTTATAAGAACACAAAAGTTGAATTATAAGTTATCAACAAAGAACATTATAGTATGTTTAAATAAAGGGGAAGAGAACAGCTAAGTATATCCAAACCTCGATATTTATGATAAAATGTTGTCCAGACAGCGGCGCCTCAGGAGCGATTGGAACTCGCGTGGGAACAGCAAACCTGTCTTAGGAATCAAACATGACGTCATATTCTATCTTATGATGTCATATTCTATCATATGACGTCATATTCTTTCATATGACGTCACGCTGTCGTGTGACGCAGTCTGCACATGATATTTCGACGTTATATTCCATCATATGATGGCATGCTGTCGTGTCAGTCATGAAAAGATCCGGTCAAATGACACGATTTTACATCTTCTGTGAACAAGGCACGAAAAGGAAAAGAATCGGCGACAGGCCACATCAGGGGCCACACTTTCAAAGATCGCTAAGTGAACGTAAGTGTTTACGCTCTATTTTCTTGTCTATGATTGGTTGATTTTGCTTGAAAGGCCGTCAATGATTGGCTGATGATCTTACGATCTCTTAACTTTTTTTGAAAGTATAGGCCCAGGCCTACACTTCAGCGCCGACATCACTACCGTATGTTATGTTATGTAACGCGGTGTCTATATGATAGTCCGACGTTATATTCTATGATATGACGTCATGCTTTCGTGTGACTCGGTCCCCATATGATATTTCGACGTCACGTTATCGTCTGGCGTGGCCTGTAAGGCTGTACGTCATAGTTTGACGTCAAAGGCTATATCTTAATGCATGTGGGAGCGTTTATAGCTTACCGCGCTGAAATTTGGCGTCCGTAATCAACATCAAGGCCGCGCTTATTAATCTTCACACCCAGGCTGAGTGATTCGAAAGTGATGCTGTAAATTAAGATTGTGTGGGGCAAAAAGTAATCAAGAGATCATTGCTTTCAATCTTGTAATTATTAATATATGATAAAAATATTGCATGTAGCACCAATGACTATACTGTGGAGCACTGTAGATAACATCAGGTTAATTTAACCATCGGTGAGTACTGGACTGTGAACTTTCTGTCGCTTGGGGTGCAGTCTTCAGTTCCTGGATGCAGCACTCCCTGCATCGACCGCAGATGCATGGAAGTAAGATGTATATGAGCCTTTGATATAAGTTACTGATCAGTGGCTGCAACTATGTAGATCAGTGGCTGCAACTATGTAGATCAGTGGCTACAACTACGTAGATCAGTGGCTACATGTAGATCAGTAGCCACAACTATGTAGATCAGCGGCTACAACTATGCAGATCAGTGGCTACAATTATATTGATCAGTGGCTGCAACTATGTAGATCAGTAGCCACAACTATGTAGATCAGTGGCTACATGTAGATCAGTAGCCACAACTATGTAGATCAGTTGCTACAACTATGCAGATCAGTGGCTACAATTATATTGATCAGTGGCTGCAACTATAGTAGATCAGTGGCTACTTGTAGATCAGTGGCTATAGCTATGTAGATCAGTCCCAACCTGTTTTTAATCTAGTGACACGTATATTATACTCGAAGGTCTCGTTTGATCGCCGCGTGCCGCTAATATCACATAGTATAACGTCTAATATGTACTGTTATTTGTAGTGTATATTTCTAATACTTCTTCATTTCTTGTTCAGAGGCTGCCTGCCTAGCGAGCCGACAGTCAATAATGAGCTTGTATTTGTTGAATATCTTGATATAGTACTGAGTATTTTACTTGGTATACTTTACAAATTTTACTTACGTAGTATTTAAGCATTTTTCTTTCAAAAGATCCGAGGTTTACTAGATTATGAGCTTTGAATCGTATATCACTTCTACTTATTTCAATTCAAATAATTTGAATTGAGAACCATCACAGTATCAACGAAGTGAAAAATTTTATCAATCATTAAATGAAAGCTCCGCATTAAATACTTCTATCCTATTTTAAAACTATTTTTCACACTTTTGGAGCTTCTTATAATCACGTCTATACCCGTATTCTCCCTCAAACGGTAAATGAAAATAAGCATTTCACCAGTCTAGTTCAATTACCACCTGTTCAAATATTCGCGTTATATTTAATCCTATAATCAATCACAATTTACCAATGGTTCAGCCAAGGCCAACCAGTCACAAACTTCACGTCAAGCGAAGTATATCATGAGTGACAACTCCCGGTTTTATGAGGAGTTGTAACAACTCAGAAATTTTCACGTATACGGCTCCAGTTTCATGAGTTGTGACAACTCAGAAATTTTCACGTATACGGCTCCAGTTTCATGAGTTGTGAGAACTCAGAAATTTTCACGTATGCGGCTCCAGTTTCATGAGTTGTGAGAACTCACGAATTTTCACGTATGCGGCTCCAGTTTTATGAGTTGTGATTAACAATGAGCATTGTTAGCCTCTAATGGCGGTCACGACAAGCCATCAATATTTATGACC